TACTGCGTTCTACGGCTTTCCACAACTTTCAGAAGGCAGAGTGGAGATTTGCAACAACTACCATGCTAATAACGCAACCAACATTGCTTCCTGGTTTGACCCTTGATTGTGGACAATGTTTCTGTACTGACGCAAAAGAGATTTTAGATGTATAACATGGGGGAAAAATGGTACAGTCTCTTTTATTGGTGAGCATGATTGTTTTAATAATAATTCTTTCTAGAAAGAATGGTGTGTAGGTTTTTAAATTAATCAAAGAAACACCTCCTACTTATCATCCAAAATTGTAACACAGATTTGCTTAAATTGCAGAACGTGCTTGAATGTGGCACAGTCAGTTGTTGAAAATAGAAAATGATGTCTTTTATCTCCATGAAGATGTTAGTGCTTTTTCAGTAATGTTCTCCATAGAAACAAGCAGCTGATGCCACAGAGACAGGAACATGCCTGTAATTGAAAATAAAATGCACACATGTAACAGTTGAATGTTTGGATATACTTTTTCATTTAATGTGTTTTTTATGACTCTGGATTCTCAGTAAAAGTATCAAAACTATGAAGTAAATGAAAAGTGAAATATAGAGACCCTTTGCTTTGGTCACTGCTTTGCACACTCCTTCATCATTAGGCTGATTGAGAGAAGGCCAAGGGTTTGCAGCGCTATCAACAAAGCAAAGAATGGTTAGTTTGAGGAATCAGAATTTAAAATATAACACTTTTTTCATTGCTACATAATTTCATACATTTTGCTTTGTGCAAGATTCGGCAGAATGGCATTGTCATTTTGGTATGAATGAAAATAAAATCTAGGCTCATTAGCGTGACGTGCAGCTATCCACAGGAGGGAATACAACTTCACTTTGTTGACTCTTTGTTGTGATGACTTTTACGGCAACATTAACTCCCAGTGGGCACCCAGTTTTCTAACACAGAAGTCAGCAGATTTGTTTCTTTTATGAAGTCGTTTTAGATTAATATTGCGATTTCAAATATGCAAACGATCCACGGGTGTCATAGATTATGACTGTATAGCAGACACAAGCACAATGGGCCTTCTTTAATACCATACTGTGGAACATTCCGTAGAGGAATAGAGATAAACTATAGTTAGTTGTGACTTTATTGCAGATAACTATACTCCAGAGTGTTTCCATGATTTGAGGGACTCTGGATGTCTAAATAAATCTTAGGTAGGACATTGTACTCACCACAGTGCCTTTAAACCACTCACTGTGCAGCCCTCAGACCGTCCAATAACTGCACACACAATTCATCTTATGACACTCGTGCGCCATGCCAGCCACTCTAAATCTAAGTCTCCAGACATGAGAAAACTGCATAGGATTTCCATTGCGTTGAAATAAATTGCAACAGCGTCCTATATAGCAGAATCCTCTTGCATCAGCCTGTCATTGTAGTTCAGGCATAGAAGAAGGTTGCCAGTATATATTAGCGTGTTACTTTTATCTGTTGGGAGATAATTAGCGCTAGTAGACAGGCTAATTGTACCCTTGTCGGTAATGTGGCTCAACATCCATATAGTAATTAAGTCGGCCATATAGTGCTTTTGTTTTCAAATGTACACTGTAAGGACAATGACTCAAAACTGCAATTCATTATAGTAATTTCTTAAAATAATAATTGTAATTGCACAGTGAAATAAGTTATCAAATAATTTTTTAAATATGTGTGAGCTTTAAACTGTGTTAAAATGTTGTTACCTCCTCAAAAACCTACCTGAAGTTGTGTTTCATTTGCAGTCCTTTATTATTAATCTGTCTACATCCCCAAAGCTCAAAATGCTCTGTCCCATGAAGCGATAGATTTCAAGTGAACAGCTTCTTTTACCTTTAGTTCAGTAGAGATTCGCAATTCCAGGGCTGAAATTATCCAAATGATTCTAGTGAAGGTGTATGGAATTTAAAAACACAGTGAAGCAATTCCTGTATTACCACATGACATCACAAGTGTTTTCTGTTTTAGAGATGAGCCTAAATATGCAGAGTTTGTGTGCTCAATATGTGTGAATGAAACAAAACTAGGGACGTAACAATATCCAAATCTCACAGTATTATCATGATATGCATCTCACGTTAAGATATTTATTGCGATATTTTAAAGAGGCTAGTATAATTGTAGATGAGACTCTTTTTTGCTTTTAAAATACCTTGACAAGATTTTGGTGTGAATTATTACCATCATAATCCTAAGAATTCAAGTAAAAAGCATATCTCTTCATGTTGTCAGCAATGAAATGAATCATGGGATTTGTAGTTCCCCATGTTTATAAACTGTTGCTACTATAAAACCATGCATTTAAGCAAAGGAACTTGTGACTCAATAAATATTGTGAGACTTTTGACAATACGATATCACAATATTTCGGTTATTGTTACATCCCTAAACAAAACACAACTCCAGGTATGTTTTTGATGAGAAAACATTATAACATAGATCAGAAAATAGTGTTTTATGGGAATTTTAAAGTTGACATTTTCTTACTTACTTCTTGACTTTTACCTAGCAACCTCAATTTTAACAATTTTTGCTTGTAAACTGTCCCTGCATTTTGTATTGAATTTTCTGGGTCGATGACATCTCACCAAACCAAGTTATAATTAGAAAAATCATGAATATACACTTTAAATACACACTTTAAACATCTCTAAGGCAAAACATTGAGGAGACTTTTCAAGTATACATCTCCCTATTAGCATACATTAGTTATTTTTATCTATTGAGAGATAATTAGTGCCGGGCGACTCTACAAGCTAATTATATTCTTGTCAGGAAACAGTTTCTACAGCCATATGCATGTAATGAGTCATATTATAGTGGCTGCTATTGTGTATGTGAATGCAATACTTATTATATCACACTGGTAACAGTCTTTGATGCACAGGCACAGGTCCAAATTGCCTTCTGATTTTGTCTATCTTTTTCTACCTATTTCACAATGTAATCTCTGGGCTACTTTCTGTCTATCACTGACAACACACACACACACATACAGCAGCTAGTTGCCGATGGCCTGAATAGCAATTTTGACTATACTTTATAATGAGAGAACTGTCTTGCATTTGGTTCCTAAATAGAACAGTTGGTTGCTGCAAAAAAATTGATATAGGTTGTAGGGTTTGCAAAAGTATTGAAAAACAGATACTAATCAGCACTAACACTAGTATCGAAAGTAGTTCTGATTATTGCCATTCAAATAGAAGTAAAAATCAAGAAGTTGTGGTTCAGTCCCTGAAAACACAAAAAACAGATCATCAGTATATCTCCCATAAAACTCAATCATGTGTCTGTATGGGTTGGAATTACTCCAGACATATCGCTGTTCCCGTTGACCCAGGTACAGTCCCCGTTAGATTTGGACTATTCCATGTTCCTCTAAAACGCATAAAATTCTCTTGGACATTCCTTAATGTATATGAATGATGCTTTTCAGTCTAGTGGTTGCTTATTGTATTGTATTGCTTATTTGATATTGATGCATATGTGATGGACATTCCTACCTATTTCCAACATGTCATCTTTATCTTGTTCTGTGGATCTGCCCATCACTTAATAATTTCTCATGGTTGGCCAAACTTTTTTTCTTCTTTCTTTTTCCTATAGTCATGTGACGTTGCCACATGATTGCAATGTAATTGCAATTTAATGACACTCGTCTGTCCGGTTCCACCCTTATGCCCTGATGAAGACAATCTTGCAGGTTGAAATGCATTGGCGTCCCTCCATGTAATAAAGGACTTTTAATATATTCAGTCAGTGTGCCTTGGGTTGTACCATTTTCTAGTAAGGGAAACAATTTTGTTGAGATTTCAAATATAAACCTTGTAGATCTCATGTACTGCTACTTTTAACTTTTTGTGACCCAGTGAAGAGCTCTGCCTTTTCTCTTCATCTGACATCTCTGAACATATTTGTTTACGTCTAAACTATTTGTGGCAATTCAAATTTTCATTTACTTAAGTATGTCACCTAATCACATCATAAAATGATGGTCGAGGATAAGGTTTGATACGAATATAAAATCTTATGCCATTTCATCAATTACAGTATGGGTTCTTTTGATTAGATAAATGTAAGTGTAAGAAAATCGCCATGAATTAGGCAGCTCAGACCCAAGCGTGTGGACCAGTCCATGTGCCCCAATATATTTCTTCCACCCCTATATCTGATAAATGTCTTGGTGTTGTGACTGATAACAAACATTTTCTTATGTCAGAATATTACTATGATTTTATGACATCATATGACACATACGTTTATTACAAGGCCCACAAATTGTAGTTAAAGTGTAGTCAGATTCACAAAGGAACTATTCACTTTTGTAAGGACAATTACATGAGTGACTGGCTGCTCTTGTGGCTACCTGGCTCGCATCATTATCATATCATGGGATTTTAACCAACTAAGACTCACTACAGGACACAGACTTATTTATCTCTAACATATTAAAACAGGATATTTGTTTGATAGTTTAAACACAGCCATCTCTTTGGCTCCATTACATTTGTATTTCCATTTAACCTCATGAGTCTGTTTGTAAGGTCACAAAACATATCGACGTAATGTATTGAATAACTTTACCGAGACCAGTGCAAACCAATCTTGCATATCGGCCACTATATGAGCCCTGATTATGCACATCTTGTCCACATAGCTTACAGAAATATAATTATGCTGGCACGGTATCTGAAATAAATTTTACCCTGTCAGTAACAATCTCTGAGAAAATGCTGTTAAACTTGATGACTCACTGCCATATTCACAGCAAGAAATGGGATTAATTTCAGTAAAAACCTCACCTGCCTGGGAACTCAAGTGCTGTCCAAGATGGTGGCTCACAGTGGGCTGAGTCACATCGCCACAGCAGCCGGGGGAAATCATGCAGCCTCATTATCATTTGTGCTGCCTCTGTATGCGTGACATGTCAGTTTGACCGACCAGCCCCCCTCTCCTCTGCCACAGGTGATGTGCGGGGCGAGATCATGTCTGAAGTACAGGGAACAGTGGAGTTTTCGGTGGAGCTGCACAAGTTTCATAATGTGGATCTGTTCCAAAGAGGGTAAGTGGTTTATTTCTGGTATTTTTCTTCTGATTTTTGTTTTTTTTTAGCATGTGGAGTAACTAATCAAACCAATAAATATGTGAGGGATTTTTCTTTTGGCTAAATACAGGTTGCATTTACACTTGTTTTGGTCCGGTCCTGGTTTGGCTCCAGTTTGCTAAAGTGTACTGTTTTATGTATGTGTGTACTGTTTTATGTATGTGTGTACTGTTTTGTGTATATGTGTACTGTTTTGTGTATTTTCTCTGTAAATATATTTTTGCTGTGATTTGAACCTGTGTAGGAATAGTGTGGAAGCTACTATTTGTAAGTTTATTTGATTTTTATTTTTCTAGTAGACGGCAGATGTGAAACCTGTTCCCCCGTCCCTCACCTGGCCTTTGCTCAGGTTCACCTGTGCTTGCTCTCAGGTCTTCTTCAGTCAGGTCAATGGTGGCACACAATCAGACAGCTGTAATGTAGACAGCATCTAGTAGTGATATGTGAGAATATAACAGGACTGGGTCAGCCAATCTAATCACAAATGATAGCTTTAAATGAGACATAATCAACATTTATGAGGTTTTAATCTTATTAGATTGGTTTTCCCTCATTAAGTTTCCTCTCTGTTGTATTTTTATAGCATGTTTGACTAATCCTGTAATTTTCTGCATTTGAAGCTTGAGTGCTTTGAAAATTTAATTTCTCACGGACCCCCTGTCTCTGCCCACAGCTCTTATTTTACATTCAGAGGTAATATACCGTAGGTGCAAAAGGTGTTCTGTAATAATTTCACATGTTAATGGAACATTTGCTGCTCACTACAACAGTCACGATGAATTGCCACTCTAAAGATACAGCGCCAGTTTTGTAGCTTTGAACAAGAAGTCAATGCACATTTCTGTTATATAGTTGTTTGAGATCAGTATTACAGTTTACATTGAAAACACCTATGTGTGCATGTTTATGACTAAATACAAGGGAAACACTTAACACTTCGTTTTTAAATGTAAATAGTATTCTTGAGCTCTAATTCACATTCACATTCAGGGCAAAACCAACTCAAAATCATCTGTATAATAAGAAAAACAAAAGTATTTGTCCTCACTTGCCCTTTACATCCTAAAACGTTTTGTGTGCATTGTCAAACTGCCGCTCACAATGTTTATACAGTAAATAATCCTTCTGTCCTCACTGCTGACAGAGCTCTCAGTGTGTTTGAAGAATAACACTTTGACAAGGCCACTTCAAAGTACGGTTAAAGTTTTGAACAGGAGCTTTTGCAGTGAATTTGAAACTGTGTATTTTGTTTAGAGCAGAGACTCACTAACCACTGTGTTCCAAATAGGAGGTGAGCATGGGCACACTTCAACTGCAGTTCACTTTCTATTGAAAAACTGTCACCCCTGTCTCTGTAAGTGCTGTTGTCAGACTTGTCATTTTAGTCTTAAAATGTTTGTATTAACCCACTTTACATGATCCTAGCATTTTGTCTGTGAATCAAGATATGAACATTTATAACAGACAAATCAGATGCCCGCTCCCTCATAAACCAGCAGTCTTATGATACTCGTGGTAGGGATTCCAAACATGGAAATTCACTCCTATAACTACAACCCCAATGAGCTTTATTTGACTGGAGCCGAACACTATGGGTGAAGTCACACTCCCATAGTCTACTTCTTTATACAATCTATGGTTTAGAGCAGTTTGTGCACATAAGAAACCTTGTAAATGCGTGTAATGCTACTGTACAATTAGCATCTTAATAATACTTAATGGTGTTTACCTTATTTGCAGTAATATTAGGTTGGATAATGAACAGGCTTATTTACCAGCCTGAAGCTCTAATATGTAATTTAGTGGTGTGATGCTGCATGGGCATCTTTCCGGCTTTTTAGAATTTGCAATGTTCATCTGCTTAATTCTGCTGACATTTAGAGGTCCCTTTCAGTCAGTAGCCTTATTCAAATGAGATATTAGCACTATATAACACCTAATCTGTTTCCATTATGACTAATACCAACACACCAGTCTGTTTTGAGTTAGAATCAACATATAAGTTACCCAATGCAGCACAGCGTTTACATGAGGTATTGAGATCGCAAATAACAAGTGAAATAGCATTAATTTGTCATATGTAGTACAACAAAATTATGTAATGTGTACTAGATTTTTTTTTTTCCCAATATAAACTCCAAAAATAAAGGAAATATATTAAAAAAAATGTTTTATTTTATGACCATTTTGGGCAAAGCAATAGCATCTCTAAGGAGAGAAGCTGATGGAGGAGGCCCCATAAAAATGTGGAGCCTTATTTTCTTTAACTTAACCAAACTCTTTTAACCATTGTTTATTATTTTAATAATTCTTCAGATACAAAACTTATTTTATCTTATGAGAAAGAGACATTTTCACTTCACTTTCAAAAATTTGGTGAGACAATATTTGTAGAAGACAGATTTTGCGTGGCATGCAGGAAGGAAAACAGTAAGCACCCATAATCCTTTGCAACTTCATCCAAGTACAAGTACTCTGATGAACAACCCATCTGCGATCCTCCACCAGCACACTTTACTTTGTCTTTAATTACTCCCTTCAAGAGGCCAGCGCATAATCTTTTTGGACATCTACTATTGCATACAATCTAAACGGCTCCAGTTTGATCCAGTCATGATGCGTCTGGTCCCAGATTAGCGGCTAAAGCTCATCTGGGCGCCCTCTGGCTCAATCTGAAATGATTTCCTTTTTCCAAATGGGCTGCTCTAAAAAGCTTTATCTCGATAATCCCTCTGGTTGAGTGCACTAATATGCAGAGGTGGGTAGTAATCGGTTACATAATTTACGCAGTGTCATTTACTTGAGTAATATTTCCTCTCATGGTAGTATTCTCACAACTAACTGCTACTTGAGTAATATTTTTATTGAATTAAAAGTGCTTTGTTTACAAAATGCTACTTGTCATCAAGTTGTTCAAAATACAATTCTGTACATTATTTTCTATTGTCCTGTATTTATCCAAATACCTTAATTTTATAAAACAAATTATAAATCAGATCTTACATCCAGAATCCAGGCTTATTTTAAAAATTATCTCTTTTTAATTCAAATTTAGTTGAAAATAAAAGATCGGATTGTTATTCATTTCATGTTTTTACTTCAAATAAATACGAAATACTCAGAGAAAGTGTGTAGAAATAAACTGTTTACAAAGGAGGGGACATTTTGGAAACTCTCACTTCATAGCTCATCTCAAACAAGCCCTGTTACTTTACAGTTACTTTTAGCTGACTTGTGACTTTCCCAATCCATAGTACCTTTGCTAGTAACTATTTGGGTTACTTTATCCATACTCTACTCTGTGAATATATTGGTTCCCAGGGGCTGCCATGTTTCAGGATAGGGACACAAAGAGAAGAAGGAAGCAAGAGAATAACTAACCATCCAAAGAGGAAGTGCTGCTGAAAAGCTTGTATTGATCCGAAGGAGCCGACAGCTGTGCACATTGAATTGTACTGATTGCATTAAAACTCAGATTATATCTCCATTGGATTTGCATAGAAAAGCTGTAGTGATAAGAATAGCACTCGAAGCGCTTTCTACTGCAAGATGCAATACTTTTATGTGATTTCGTAATTAGGGACATTAAAACTTTACCAACAATCGAATCAAAGAAAGACTATGCTGGCGGAAAACAAAAGCTGTGGTTTAGTGTATAAATCCTTCAATGTTGGTATAGTAAGTTTAGTGGTAGACCAGATGTCCCTATTTACCCGGGACAGTCTCACTTTTGAGCACAGTGTTCCCTGTCTCAGCAGATGTATCCAAAACCAGTGATTTGTCCCAGTTATACAAGAATTGTTTCATGTGTCCTTATTTTTGACCAATGTGATCCCTGCCAACAGAGAGGAGCATACATTGTCATTTGTTTAGGTAAAATGCAGAAAAGCTCCTTAAAAATGACCAAAACACAAAGAAAAGATGACTATACTGAGTCACATTAGTGCAGAGTGAGTAACAATTTTCCTTAATTACGCACTCGTACACAAACCAGAGATGTCCCAGTTTTTTATTTTGAAAATCTGGTCACCCTATAGTCTAGGTAACAAAATTCAAATATTTCTGGGGAAGAAATACAGTTGTTTTTGTGTTTTTTTTGTTTGTCTCTATTAGGATATTACCTTTATCTTATGTAATGCTAGATCATATCAAATTGTTATGACAGTGGTAGCATTTTATATGACACTACAGAAACACTTGGAAACTCCTGTAGGACTCTATGTACCTGGCCAAAACTGCACTCACATAGTACACCTGTTTGGAGGTTCATGCAAAAACAGCTATGAACAAAGAAAATACTAGTAAACAAGCTATTTATATAATCTGCCTTTTAACATGTCAGAAAAATAGTCAAAATGACATTCACAATGTTATGTCACCTTAGTCTGACATAGTTCATTTTTATACACTGCAGTGATGTAATACACAGTGGCCCATATTAACAGTACTTCACACATGAGCATGTCCTTTTAATTATTCATTTTCCTCTTACACTTTAAAATATGAATCATTTATTCCCTCTTGTTCTATTGGCAGTTACATCATATCATTATTAACCTCACTTATAGAATTGCCCATTGTAAATGTAAGTTGAAGTACTGTAGGATTTTAGTTTTAGTGTTAGTCTCTGATATAAAAGTATCACATGCTGCACACCCTTATTCATGATATTAGACCAGGTAATGTCATTAAAGAAGACATATTATGCATTTTTCCTGGTACTTTATAACATAAGTTGATCATCATTTTACTTTGTGTTCTTTGTAAACAACTATATTGATCTAAAATGACTTAAAGCAGACCTATTATGCAAAATAGACTTTTAAGAGCTCTAACCATGTTATAGTTGCTTCCTCACGCCATTTACCCACTCAAAGTTGTGTTTAGAGTGATTTGTGCATGTTTGAGCAATTTTTAATGGATTATTTTCAAGACGCCATCAGTGATACGTGCAGAATTTGGCAGCGTTTAGCTCAATATTGCGATTTAAAATATGCAAATGATAACATAATAAACTACGGGTGTCATAGATTATAGCTATATAGCATTCACAAGCACAAATCTGCTTTTAATTATAGAAATTATACTGACTTCCTTTTCAAAACTTCAGAATTGATAGTTCATAATTGCATTTCTCAGTAGCAAGCAGCATATGTTCATTTATGTGTTTTCATTTTGAGTGAATATAAAGCCAACTTGTCTTAATCTTTTAAAAAACATTGGAAACATAAGGGAGTGGGTGGAGAGCGGGGTAAGTGGCTTTTTGAGTTAACTTACTTACTTACTTAAGTCTCAAATAATAGACAATAAAAGATTACTCAGATATGCATGAATCAATCAAAATACAGTTCTGAGTGAGGTAGTGATTTTGTATGCATGACTCTTTATATGTTATGAGATGTGATGTACCATTAAAGACATATTCAGACTGTACAAACACACTCTGTAAAAAATGTATTTGAAATAATTCTAATGACTTGATGACATTTTTTTTGAATGTCAGTTAGCATCGTTTTCTATAGTAAATAAACTTTTTAAAAATACAATGCAAAAAAGCAATAGATTTAATCATGTCAAACCATGGCTAGAAATTTGAGCTATGTTTGGCAATAAAATAATGATCACAGATTTTTGTTAAGGTCAACGACAAGCTGAAATCTTTTTTTTGTGTCTGTTACTGACTGCTACGAACTTGTCCAATTCAACCGGGCCACTGTATCTAAAATGTTATCAAACCATTTCTAAAAATACTTACCCTTTCTTATCTGTCATTTCAGGTTTTACCAGGTGCGCGCCGGGTTAAAAGTGTCACCGCGGGTGCCGCACAGACTGATAGCAACAACACAAAACAATACAGGTAAAAACGCACTGTGTTTCATTGTTACACACATCTACAGACAATGGAGGCATCCCCTGTTGTCCAGGAATAAGGCTCACTTTGCTATATTGCGTCTGTGTCATCATAATGCATTATTGCAGTATGGGTGGATGAACCTTTGACTGTCTGGCTCCAATCCACTTTAGAGAAATACAAGCAACCCACTGTGTTTTATATATATATATATATATATATATATATATATATATACCAATACTGTTCAGAATCAGGTATTGCTTTTTAGTGCTGAACAATTTGAGGAAAATATCAAATTTACAACTCTAACAAGCATTTTTAACGGTCCTATATTATGCAAAATTAACTCTTGTGATCTTTACAATGTTGTCACCCCTTAAAAAACACATCTGGAACTGTGCTTTGTTTTATTTACGTATGTTTTAATAATTATGGATTATTAGTCTAGTCTGTCTACATTTCCAGAGATCAAAATGCTCTGTCCCATCTTGTAATGTCATGTAGTGGTTGTTTTTAAGTTAACAGCTACCTTTTACCTTTAGTTCAGTAGAGACTGGCAATTCCAGGGTTGAAATTATAACAAACTGACATGACAAGGAGGCATCATGACATTACAAGGTGGAACAGATTTTTTTCTGTTTGAGAGAAAACTCTAAAGCCTAAATATGCAAAGTTTGTTGTGTTTGTATTTTTTGATGAGGATCTGAGATAAATAAAGTATTTATCTGTCTATATATCTTTCTATCTTATACGTAGACCAGAAAATAGAGTAATATGAGTTTCTGTTCAAAGTTCATATCTTAAATGCGAAGAATCAACAAAACACTGAAACATGAGCTGACAAACGAATTGAAGAAGCATTTCAGAACATGTTTGTGCAGATCTAAACTACAGGGCTATCTGTTTTTATGCAGAATAAGACAGGATGTTTAGTTGTTTCTGGAGGAGATTATGATACTTGACATCTTTTGTGATTTTCTGATCATTATGTCCATTTAAATTCTGCTTTTGATTCAGATGCGATAAATGTTGTAACCTATTTTGGTGCATAAAATTGCTGTCATCATCAGTCATTCTAAAATCATAAAGAGTGGTTTGACCGTATTTTCCGTACCATAGGGTGCGCCCATAAGCCTCCAACCCCATCAAAAAACGACTGCGCGACCTGCAATCCAGAGCGCCCTATACACGAATCCACTCTGGTGTCCCAGCATGACTTCAGTAAACTACAAAGCTGCACCACCCGCAGCGCACGCAAACATGCACGGAGCAGACAGAGACCGTGCAGCGAAAAACACTTCTAGCCACAATTGAACAACTAAGTCACTGCGAACACGCCAGCAATCCAGCGGTCCCAGACAGCACCCTCCCTACACACCACAATTGAACAAACCCGAGAGTCACCATGAACACGCCAAACAAAGTCCGACTGACCCATCTAACTGTTGTGTTTCGTTTAAAGTCCAGTGCGGTTTATTTGTGAAAAAAGTTCAAAAATAGACCATCCAATGACAGTGCCTTATAATCCAGAGCTCCCTATAGTGTGGAAAATACGGTAATAGTAAAAAAACATTGAGCAACATGAAATAAACACCTTAACTCACCTCAACTTTCAACTTCCAATGTAAAGCTGTTTGAGTAATACCTTGAATCTTGATAAAGATGATTCAAGTATGCATGACTCACTCTAAACACAACTTTGAGAAGGTAAATGAGGAGAGAACATGATTTAAAACTCTAAAAGTAAATTTGACATAATATGTGACCCTCAAAGCTGTTTTTCACCATTATTTGTGGCTCAAGGACAGTGTACTGTTATCATAATAAATGGATGTTAAACTGCAGTTTTCAATTGACATGCAGATTCCAATTATGCAGCAATACTTTTAGCCTTATTTTGATGTTGATAGCTCATGCCAAGGCAGTGAAAGGAAACAGACTTTTTCATGGATTTCATCTTAATTTAATTTTCGTTCATATTATTTTTTTGACCCAGAAAAATCACACAGAAATGTTCTCATTTCCAAATGAGACCTCAGAAAAAAAAAAAAAAATCTCCACAAATATCTTCAAAAGAGTCTGTAACCATGAATTTAGTAGGGCTGTAATAATTTAGTCACTTAGTGGATTAATCGGTCAATAGTGTCTTAGTTGACCAAAATTTGTATTAGTTGTGAAATTCTTTAATTCAGAGTTAAAGATTTATATGGGACAACATCCGATAAGGAAATGTATCGCATGAGTTATCTGATGATTTCCCAGTACATTTCTGTTTAAATCGCTGATTTCTTCTGAGCAGAACTTCCGAGCAGTCTACTGAGTGCAGTTTGGGTCAGATACATAGAGATGCATAATCATTTTAAGAGCTTTAGCCACGCCTACTTTTTAGTCGACTGACAGAGCATATCTAAAAGTTTCTTTAGACAACTACAGCCCTGGAATTTAGACACAATCAGACTAAAATGCATTTGACTTTAATAACTGTCTTCCAACATCACACACAGACACAGGAACAGACTGACTCACAAATGTACAGATCTGAGGGGACCAAGTGTGGGAAAATCTCCTGTCAGGAAATCCTTTTATGGCCGCGCATTATGTTTGTCAATGATATAGAGCTATGCGTTTGAAGTGTGTGGAAATAACTAGTCATATGCATTATTACTGTGCGTATGCCAGACTACACGTTGTATTGCAGATAGTGTTTAGGGCAGTCTTGTCTTGGGGGCATATTTCACACTTGGAGCAGTGCCGTGGTACAAGAACATTACTCCAGGACTGTCGTGACTCGGAGACAGAACAAATAACTATAAATAGAAGCCAAAATCTGTCTCATTTTAGATTAAAAAGTTTGGAAAATGAATTGTGCTGAAAATGTGCAAGGCAGTAACACTTACCATCTCCGATCCAGTTAATTTGCACAAATTTGATACATTATATATTGATTAACATGAGTACAGTATAAGTCTCATCATTTCAGTAATAGTCCAGCACGAGCTCCTCTGACTGCATGGTTGCTGATGCGTTCTCCACTTGAAGTATTGTGAAGAGCAAAAGTCAAGACGTTTGCTTTGAATGTTTAGGCTACATATACTCTACCATATTAGGATAATACTCTAGCTGGGTACTTCTAGAAATGAAATGACACTTGGTAGAAAGTAGTGCTGAGACTTGAGATCACAAATACTGTACTGGGTTTAGTAGTATGTACAGCAAAATCGGTCCATAGAGCAGTAGTAAGGCGTGAAAATTGTGTTGTGTGTTGGATAAAACAAATGAACCTCCCAGGATTTATCTTTCCAATATTTGTCCAATATATATTCTCATACCATCACATAATTGGGTAGTACTCGTATAACCTTTGAGTACTGCTTGAGTTATATATTTCACATCAGTACAGTGCATCAGTACTATTTGTTTCTTGTGCGATTCATGGTTTAGTTTTCCTCATTAAATTTTGTTATCTATGCTTTAAATGTTGTTATGTTTTGTCCTTCTAATTATATGAACTTCAAATTATAAATTAGTTACCCCAGATACCTTTTAATTCCAACTTGTGTAATTTCTTGGATCATCTACTTCTACATCTACTTCAGTAATATTATTTTGAAGAACAGTGCTTTTATTTTAGATCTATTTTTGGCTATCTACCCCGTCCAATCTCCTTTTAGCTGCCTGTCAAAAACACACGCCACCTATTGGTATTCATGTGCATCTCATACAATTCAGTAAACAATTTTTTCTCTTTTGTATTCCGTCCATGGCTCTGTGAATCCAACCGATCTAATGTCTTTCTGGTGAAATGGAGGAAGCTGGTTCACGGGCAGTACAGATCCAGTAATGTGAGCTATTTTTAGCCCTGGTCATGTCTGCAGTACTGTGTGTGTGTGTCTCTGTGTGTGTGTGTGTCTGTGTGTGTGTATGTGTGTGTACCAGTCTGCAGGGACTCGTGAGGACCATGTGACAGAGGGGCCCCGGTGCCCTTGTGGGGACATGCTGGTGTGGAGGCTGGGCTATTATCTGGAATCAACATGCGGTGAGACTCAAGGTTATATGAGGAAGTGAAGGGGTTTGGGTTCATGCAGCAATTTTGGAAAAATATCACGTTGCAGTGTTTCTGACATCGATTCGATTTATGCTTTATGTTTTAATATCATAATAATAGCATTTTGTTCACAGCCAGTGCACATTTTAAACATGCCCAGGAGCATTTAAGGCTGAAATATGAAGTGCTAGACGAATGCAAGAATGCTATACAGTTTGAAGATGGCTATTCTGATTTATATAACAAGACGTTTTGTGATCTGCTCAACAAAGGATTTTACTTAAATGCCCATATTAGGCTATTTTCTGAGCTCTGTTATAATGCTGTTTCTTCATCACAAATATACCTGGAGTTATGTTTTGTTTCAATCACACATTTTTAACACACAAATCCTGCATATTTAGACTCTGTTGCGATGTTATGTGGTAATACAGGATGTACTCCACTGTGTTTTTAAATTCCATACACCTTCATTAGAATAATTTTGACAATTCCAGCTGTGGAGTTGCCTATCCCTACTGAACTAAAGGTAAACTACAGCTTCATGACATCACAAGGTGGTACAGAGCATTTTCAGCTTTGGAAATGTAAACATAATAATAATAAAGTGTTCTCAAACTCAAACATCTGTGGATGAATCAAAACACAACTCCAGGTATGTTTATGAGGAGGTAACAGCATTATAACATGGCTTAGAACTCACAAGAGTAAAATTTGTGTAATATAGGACTTTTAGGTGAATAATGGAACCTTTTTAGTTGAGAATCCACCACCTGCTTGTATGCATTGAGACGTGATTGTTGTACCTTGATATTTCAGTGTATGGCTTCAGACTTGTTATTCATCTCCATGGAAACAACCAGGCAATGTCTTTTCAGTGCATTCATTACCAATAAGAACACCAGTAAGTGAATAAATGAAAGGTACAGTAAGTTTAGTTTTAAAATTTTAACAGCAC